GAATGAAATGGACAGAGAAAGCTGCATTTTAGAAAAGCGACTGGACTGTAGAGGAGATGAAAGCCAGTCTGTCCTCCAGCACCCCAGACAAGACTGGGCTCAGGGTCCTTCAGGAGTGGCTGGAATCAAGAGAATTCTTAGAAGTCTGCAACAGTACACCAGCAGGTCACCATTCCCACCCACTGGTCCCCAGAGGAGGACACTCAGTAGGACAGCTTGCTTCTAGCAAAGCCCAACATGGCTTTTCTCTAAAAATATTGAAAAGATACATGGTGGATGCAAAGGCATTTGGGGTGGACAATGGCAGCCCAGAGTGACACCCTCCTCAGTCTGGCAAGGAGAGGGATGGACAGTGGCCTGACACTAGACTCTAATGTTCTCCCCAACCCTACACAGAGCTCCCAGTCAGACACTGTATAAGTGCGGGGCCGCCCAGGCGTCACCAACTGTAGGAGGGGAATTGGCAAGCAGGAAGGGAAGGATACAAATGCACAAATAGAAAACATGACCCCAGAGAAAATAGTCAATTAAGGGAATAGGAAAGAACTTAGAAGAAAAGAGAACATGATTCCTAATATACTCAACAAGATTCAAAACATGTATTAACTATGAAACAAAGAGAATAGCTGAAATTGGTAAATCAAATACAGATGATGAGAAGGAATGAAAAATATGGGAAGTAAAGTTGGAAGAATCTTCCAGAATAAAGATCAAAAAGTAAAAAATAAATAAATAGGGAGAGAAAACTGTGCAGAATATCCCATATCTAATAAAAACCCCAGAAGAAAAGAGACAATGGATGGGAGAAAATGATCAAATAAACATCAGAAAAGACTTTTCTAGAGCTGAAACACTTGATTTTCAGATTGAAGGCAGGAGGATCACTTAGCCTGGGAGCTGGAAGTTGCAGTGAGCTATGATTGTGCCTCTGCACTCCAGGCTGGGCAGCAGAGCAAGACTCTGTCTCTAAAAAAAGTTAAAAAGGGTCTACCGAGGTCCCATATCTGGACACATTCTCATGAAAGATAAGGAGACTAGCTTAAAAGCTTTCTGAGAGACAAAAATAAATTCACCTATGAAGAGTGGGAATGAAAAAGCAGTATTTCTCATGAGTAAACTTAGATGTTAGAAAAGTTAAAAAGAGGCTGGGCATGGTGGGTTATGCCTGTAATCCCAACACCTTGTGAAGCCAAGGAGTTTGAGACAAGACTGGGCAACATAGGAAGACTCAATCTATACAAAAATTTAAAAATTAGCAGTGTGTAGTGGTGCATGCCTGTGGTCCCAGCTACTCAGGAAGCTGAGACAGGAGGATCTCCTGAGCCCAGGAGTTCAAGGCTGTTAGAAAAAAAAAAAAAAAAATAGAATGGGATAGTGATTTTTTATTGTTATTCTTCATTTTTCTGTAAGTTTTTAATTCCCTGTTAAAATACATCTGTAACGTTAAGTACAAATATGAAACAAACCAAATGAAGCATAATTTTAAGCAATTAATAAAGAGGAAGAAGGAAGCCCATTTGAACTTGGTGTTGGGAACAGCCAACTGTGGTCCAGAAGTGAGGTAGCTGGACCCAGGGAGAGCGAGATGCAGCCTTACCCTCCATAGCACAACACTTCTTTAAACCATTGCATGATCCCCTTGTCTTTTCACTTCTTGCCTGCATCTCACCCCTTACTCCCAGGGGAATCCTTCTGTCTGTTCGTCACAGTAACTTCAGCAGCTGGAGCACCACCTGGCACTTTTCAATGCATAAATGAGTGCTCATACAGCCTTAATATTACAAACATTGTTTATTAGGTTTCAATTATAGAAACACAGTTGGGCAAAGAATGGGAGACTTAACTGAGGTGGAAAGATGTATTAAGGCTGGGCGTGGTGGCTCACGCCTATAATCCTAGCACTTTGAGAGGCTGAGGAGGGCAGATTGCCTGAGCTCAGGAGTTCTAAGCCAGCCTGGGCAACACAGTGAAAACTTGCCTCTACTAAAATACAAAAAATTCTCCAGGCGTGGCGGCGTGCACCTGTAGTCCCAGCTACTCAGGAGGCTAAGGCAGGACAATTGCTTGAACCCCAGAGGCAGAGGTTGTAGGGAGCCGAGATGGCACCACTGCACTCTAGCCTAGGTGACAGTGTGAGACTCCGTCTCCAAAAAAAACAAACAAACAAACAAACAAACAAACAAAAAAAAAAAAAAACAGTATTTAAGTATGAGTAACCTTCAGATGTAAAAGTAGAAACATGGCTGATGGAGGGTGGATCCTGGATGGGGAGGCTGAAGTAGATGGAAAAGATAGAGAAAGGGTTAGAGGTGTCAAGATTCTCACCCAGATAGTGGAGGGCAGAGAGCTCCTGGAGCAAGCAATAATGCTAAATTATATTTAAAGTTAAATTAATTCAAACTGCTGGCCATTATGAATAATACTGCTATGGACATTTACTTACATGTCTTTTTGTAGCCATGTGTTTTAATTTTCTTGGGTAAATTCCTGTAGATGGAAATGTCTAGAAAAGGCAAATGTTTGGAGACAGAAAGCACAGTGGTGTTTGGCTACTGCTCAGATGGGAGCGATGTTGGTTTTAAATGGGTAGGAGAACATTTCTAGGATGATGGGAATGTTCTGAAACTAGGTTGTGGTGATGGTTGCACAGCTCTACAAATTACCAACACCATTCAATTGCACACTTACAATTTTTGGCATACAAATTATATCTCAATATTATATTTAAAAAATATAATAAGTAAAACTTCTAGAAGAAAATTATAGAATAATCTTATGACTGGGGAATAGGCAGACACTTCACTTCACACATACACATGCACACACACACACCCACAACACAAGTGCCAATGAACACACAAAAAAACACTTAACATCATTAGTCATCAGGGAACTGCAAATTAAAACTATAATGAGACACAATTACCAGAACAGTGAAATATCAGCAAAGATATTGAGGAACTAGAATTCTGAAGCATTATTAGTGGGAACATAAAGTGGTACATTCACTTTAAAAATGTTCTGGTGGTTTCTTATAAAGCTAAATACACACAACATTTCTGCTTCTAGGTGCATATCTGCAAGAAATAAAAACATATGTCTGCAAATAACATACTTGTAGAAGTATGTTTATAGCAGATTTACGGTGAGCAAAAACTCATGGAAACAGGCCATCAATAAACAACCAGAGAGACAACTGACATAGGCAGTGGCATGAACCTTCTCAAAAAACATTATGCTGAGTGAAAAAGAAACACTGTTTATAAAACATTATTTATTATACAGATTCTTTCTGTATCAGTTATAGAACAAGAAAAACTAAACTACCATGGAACAAATCTGAACAGTCATTGTCTCTGTGCTGGGGACAGTGTAGGGACGTGGAGAAAACCCTGGGACAGTGGTAATGTTCAGTACCTATTTGGCTACACAGGAATATGCATATGTCAAAACTCATTTGAGAGTACACTTAAGATCCATGTATTGAATTTTATATACATTTCATTTCAAAAAGATAAAGAAAGAAAAGGATTGGGCTGAGAGTCGTATCGACTATAAATGGGTATCAGAAATTTTTGTTTTGTTTTGTTTTGTTTTGTTTTGTTTTGTTTTGTTTCGAGACAGAGTCTCGCTCTGTCACTAGGCTAGAGTGCAGTGGCGCGATCTCGGCTTGCTGCAGTCTTCATTTCCCGGGTTCAAGCAATTTCCCTGCCTCAGCGTGGGGTGGTGGAATGTTCTAAGACTAGATTGTGGTGATGACTGCATGGCTGACCCTGAACTCTGGATCGGTATTTCAAGCTGAAGTGTTGACAGGTGGAGTGCACTGATGTCTCCAACTTACTTTGAAACATATCGAAAAATAAGATGGACTGATGACAGTTAGAGGCACAGACAAACGAACAGATGTGCGATAAAGCAAGTAGAGTAAGATGTTGATGAAATAATCTATGTGATATGAATATGGGTGTTCTCTGTGAAATTCTATGAACTTTGTGTATGTTTGAAAAGAGTCATAATAAAATGTTGGGAACAATGTAATCAATGGAAGAGTTAAAAATAATACAACTATTAAACATGAAGAAGAGAAACAGAGGAAGAGGTACTGGTGAGCTAAGTCCTTATTTCTTATTTTAGAGAGTCAATAGATATTGTCCAAATTTAATACATCTTTTAAATTATTTTTATTTTTTTCTTTTTTCTTAGAGTCAGGGTCTCACTGTCACCCAGACTGGAGTACAGCAGTGTCATCAGAATTCACTGCAGCCTCAACCTCCCAGGCTCACGCAATCCTCCTGCCTCAGCCTCTTGAGTCATTAGAACTATAGGTGTGAATCACCTTGCCTAGCCAATGTTAAAAAATATTTTCTTTCCTTTGGGAAATTTTGAGAGAGGGACTTGCTATATTGCCTAGTCTGGTCTTGAACTCCTAAATTCAAGCGGTCCTCCAGCCCCAGCCTCCCTAAGTGCTGGGATTATGAGTGTAAGCCTCTGTGCCTGGCCTCAATTTAATAAATCAATACAGATATACATTCATATTATTTCACACCACGGAGGTAAAAAACAAAGGAAATAAGACAGAAACTACCTGAAGAAATTATCTCTGAGACATGAGATGGAGGAAGCGCATTAAACTTGGCTTTCATAATAACCTATTCCTTTATCTTTTGAATTTTTTTTACTATTCAATGTATTACTTTGATTAAAAAAAAAAAAAGAACACAGAAAATGTCTCTAAGCCTACAGACACATTCATCAGCTAAAGGACTGCCGAGGACCTTAGCCCAAAGCTCTCGGCCCACTCTCTGGGTCTGAGTGATTGATGATGTCGGGAAGTGTCACTGCTGGAAGGAATTCAGGATCAGAACCACTTTCATCTTGTGTCAGGAGTCTGAACTCCATGGCTGTCTGGTGTCTGCCAGGTGAAGTGGACAGCTAAATGTATTCAGATTATTCCAGAATGGGTCACTCTTAGAGTGGGGAAAACAAGTGCCCACAGAGAGTTGAAGCACATGCTCGGTTTTTACTGATTCCCAAAATTATTCCCTTCCTTCCAAAATACAATAGGTTGATCCCTCTAGAGTTTATAAGTGTGATGACTGGGCTTCATACTCATGTGTGAGATGTACCTCCCTCAAACTGTCTCATACCACCAGTATGTGACCCATCCCATGTGAAGTAGAATAAGACAGGTTGCACAACACAGCAATTTGAAAGTTAGTCATCATCTCAATGCAAGCAGACGGGAGAAACTAAGGTACCTTGCACTTGACCCTACTAGCAGATTTAATCTCATTGCAATGGAAGAAGCTGGCTCTCATCTGAATTGTCTGCTTCTATACTTGGTGGTAGTCTGTGCTGAGAAAGCTGTCTCTTGCCAAGGACTCTGTGGCTCTAAGAGCCGGAGATTCTTTGATTTCAAAATTTCCTAAACAGCTTCTGGTTGAGGTTGGCAGCTTTCCATAGCATCTAGGAACTACATTGCCTTGGACAATCACCATTTATCCATCCAGCCACTTATCTAACAAATACTAACGGAATACGGAACATGGCGCTCATTCCAGGAGCTCAAAACACTGCTGTGGACAAGGATGGACAAGATCCCTGCCCTTGCGTAGCTGACTTTCAGTTATTTGGAGCCGCTGTAGATACATGTTTGAATGTCATGAGTAATTTATCAGGGTTGCCTAGGTTAAAAACTGATTGAGGTGGAGAACATAAGGTGGCAAGAGAAGAACTATTTGAGGAGGTGACATTTTAGCTGGGACAGAAGGTTGAGAATTCAGCTATAAGAAAAGTATGAAAGAGTATATTCCAGGTGACAGGGACCATAAGAACAAAGCCATAGGGTCAGAAGGAGCTTGATGTGTTTGGAAACAAAATAAAGGCCACTGTAGCTGAATTTTAGTCACATGAGATGAGATAGAGGAGGAGATTTGGGACAAGTCTTTTAGGGCCAAACAGGCCTTGATAAGGAATTTGGATTTTACTCTCATTTTAATGAGAAGTCGTTAGAGGATTTTAAGCAGGAAAGGGACTTAACAGTATGTGTATTTTAAAAAGATGATTCTGGATGCACTGTGGAAAATGGCAGACAGGAGGATATGGATGAAAACTGAGGACTGTTTTAGACTTTCAGGGCAAGGCAACAATGGCCTGAATGCCTGTGATGGTGATAGAGATGGAGAGATGTGGAATAATTTGAGATGCCATGACACTGTTTTCCAATTATTTTTGCCAAATCTGCCATTACTGCACCTTTGGGATGGAAGTCTCTCAGTGTGATGCTTTCTTCAGTGAATACTGTCTAGTATTCCTCGGGAACACTCTGGAAGGAGGTATTAGTCTGCCATGCTTTTGGGAACCAGATAGCTTGCTTGGGGCTACAGCTTAGCTGGAGGATACTTCCTCATTACCTATGAACTGTCCTCATTACTTAGAAACTGTCTCATCAGACGAACCACCTGGAGCCTTTCCCCAGCTCTAATCAGACCCTGCCCTCGCTCCATCTCCTGGTTCTACTTTTTCTACTTGACCACACTCTTGGGGAGTCCGCCCTGGAAGCCTTACTGCACAGTCCCTAAGACAAGAGAATTTCCCTTTTCCGATTTCTAGAAAAATGTGTGGGATTGCTCCATAGTAGACTGACCTATTTAAAATGCACACTCCTGAACCGGTCACAAGGGTCGGGGATGGCACAGCTGTCATCTTGAGTCAGCTGTCAACTGCTCAAGCTGGTGTGTACAGGAAGGAGCTGGGCACCAGATCCACATTGTCTGAGACCAACAGAAGGACGATTCTTCAAGGCAAATTGAGATGCTGGCAGCAGCAGAAGGGAGAATGGATGGCCGGAGGGCAAACACAATGAGATCTCTGACGTATCTTTCAAGTTGCAGCTCCTAAGCTCTCTCTTCCAGGAACCTTTCTATATCTAGTCTGCCTTGGAGAACCAGCTTCATCATGCAGTGGACTTTCTTGTCAAGGGAAAATGCAGACAAGTGTTGTCAGTGATCAGGTCCGATCTTTCAGGGAAGTCTTGCAAGAGCCTAACCCACCGTCCGCAGGTTTCTGTGCATGCCCTGCGAACAACCTCCCACTGGTAATGACTGCAGCCAGTGTTGTTGTTTCAAAGAGTTCCGGGAAGAATCTCAGCCCTGGAAAAACAAAAATGGGTTTGACCCAGAGATGCCTGAGTTGGAGATGAACTTTGGAGAACTTCCCTTGTTAGTGTACTAAAATCCCTGCCCAGGGAGGAGCTCATTCACCATTTTCCGTGCATGTGAGGTATGTGGAACATGATCATGATGGGCTTTACTCCATCTCCACATTCGATGACTCAGCTCACCAGCCCAATAAAAGCCAGGCTTTCACCTTTGTTCCGGGAGGCACTGCTTGGGAACTATCCCCCATGTCCTCCTTACTTGCTGCAAGGCATCAAATCCCCTTGTTAAACCCGCCTTGGTTGTGGTACTGGACGTCACCCGCCAAGCCATTGAACCCGCCTGTCATGTGAGTAACAAAATGAGAAAGAGAACCTTAAGCATTCGGTCTGATTGTCTGACTGATCATCTGAAGACATGGTATGGAGACATTTATTCAACACATAATTGTAGGTGTATACCCTGGGCCAGGGGCTGTCCAAGGTGTGGGAGCCCCAAAGGTCCTTCACACCCACATGACCTCAGAAATACCCCATGCCCGCCTCATGGACAGAGCACAGCACAGACACAGATGGGCACTCAGTGGAAGTTGTGAGTAAATGAATGACAGCTTAGCACATGCGTTGGTCTAGAAGAGGCGGTGAAGTTAAGTGATGCATAGAAAACGCTGTTCTCAGAGCCCTCACAAACGCTCTTCTCACAGCCGTGCCTCTGACCAGTCACTGTAGGCTCCTTCTGCCTACAGAAATGAAGTCTGGTTTCTTCACCTGGGAACACACCACCAGTGGAAGTCCCTTGGCATCACTGGCATCAATCACCTTACCCGGTGTAGCTCCCTGGTCTGTCCAAATCCTACTCACTTTTTAAGACACAGCTGCAGGAAGCCTCGTTCCCTGCACCAAGTTCCACTGAATTGCCTCCTGCCTGTGCATTTCCACTGCGTGTGCTCCTGCCTGTGCCTCCTGCCTTGTGTTCCTGTTGACACCCCCTATAACACTCCCTGCCGCCTGCATTACTGTGGACCCAGTGCTCACCTGCCTTTCACCCAGGATTTCAAACACTTGAAAGCTGGCCTCCTGCAGCCCTGGCCAAGACCCTCCCACCCAAGACACAGAGGATGCTCTCATCAGGTCCCCGCTGGGTTTGATTTCTTTATTTTACTCTTAGAAACAGCTTCTTAATGTGTTAGACCTAAACAGCCAAGACACTAGGGGAGGTCATGGTCTCTTAGCAAAAAGGCTTCCTTGTGCCACAGCTCTCTTAGGCATAGAAAGCTGTCTCATCAAACTCAGTGGCAAATCTTCCAACTACTGGTTGTCAGCCTATTAATTCAGCAGCAACTCGCAATGGCCTGTAGGGTACTTGCTGGCTCTGTCTTGTTGCCACTCATGCTCAGAGCCCACCACAGCCACCAACATGCTGGTTGTAGGCAAGACAGGACCAGAGACCAGAGGTTTCACAGACACCATTGCCATCTGTCACTGTGTGGGGTAGGGAGAGTGGAAAGGGAGGGGAAAGAGGGTGTCTGGCTTTTCTTTCCCACTGCAATGCAAACATTTCTGTAATTTCTACAGAGTTATTAGTTAATGTGATATCGTCACTTTATGTTACCTTTAAAATGCCCAAATTGTGTCAGTTGATGCAGTCTTTCAAATGCGATTGTGCTGAATATATGGTAGCAGCAAATACTCAGGCTCTAATTTGAAAAGTCATCATTATCATAAATGCCTATTCTTAATCAGTATGAACTGGGCCAAATGGCTCTGCAGAGTTTTCTGGAGTTTAAGGGTAAGCTCCTGGTCTGCTGGGGAGAGGATGGGGCAAAGGAGAGGGTAAAGAAGAGTCCAGCTATGCTTTAGTGATTCACTTCACTGTTACTTGGTTCATTTAGGTTTTATTGGGGAAACACTTATCGACAGCCAGAGAAGCTTCTGGAAAAAACATTCAAGTAATTGATGAATTTTCAAAAAGAAGAAAAACAAGAGTATGATGAAGAAAAGACACCAGGATGTGCATCCTTGCTAGGAGGAATTCTAAGGTTTCAACTCACATACCAGATCTTACTGACTGAAAACAGCAAATACGCCAGGTGCGGTGTCTCATGCCTGTAATCCCAGCACTTTGGGAGGCTGAGGCAGGTGGATCACTTGAGATCAGGAGTTTGAGACCAGCCTGGCCAATATGGTGAAACCCCGTCTCTACTAACAATAAAAAATTAGCCAAGCATGGTGGCACCTGCCTGTAATCCCAGCTCCTTGGAGACTGAGGCCTGAGGCAGGAAAATCGCCTGAACTCGGGAGACAGAGGTTGCAGTGAGCAGAGATCACACCACTGCACTCCAACCTGGGCTACAGAGCTAGACTCTGTCTCAAAAAAAAAAAAAAAAAAAGGAACCAGCCAGAAAATATTCCATGACTGACTGGTGATGTCTGCCATGGGTGTGGAATGCACAAATGAAGACAAAAAGAAATTCAACTACATCATTAAACAACAACGAGTCTTAATCCATCAAAAAAGCCTATGAGAAAAAACAAACAAACAAATGAAAAACAGCCTTCACTTACCAATTCTTCTCTAAAACCAAGTGTGTTTTATGTTGGAGAGCAGCACATGGTATCTATTGAGGTTGCTCCGATGAAGAGAGAACTCTGAAGCTGCTGGTGGCCATCTTGCCACCAAGAGGCGAGAAGCTAGCTGAAAATGAAGACAAATCAAGAAAATCAGAGCCAAGACACAGAGAGAGACTAATTTCTAATGAGGTCCTTTGCAAACCTGGACCTAGCTATCCTTTTGGTCAAAAAGATCTACCCTTGGTCTTTAGTTACATAAGCTTATTTTTTCTGTTTACTTAAACCAGTATGAATTGGGTTTATGTTATTTGCTACCCAAAGAATCTTAATAAATTTATTAAAAGAGCCGAGAGGGGAATATCTTGTGGGAAGGTCACTTAATTTCTTTTGACTTTGAGTGGTCTTATCTGTCAATGGAAAATAATGAACTTATCTGTATTTGTTTAATAGGATTGCAGTAGAAACCAGCCAAGATGAAAGATGTCAGAGTTCCCTGAAAAATGTACGTGAAATTTCAAAAATTAAATTCCAGCAGGATATGTGAGTGTGTGTATGTGTGAGTGTGATTCGTGTGTATTCTAAGGAAGAAGACTAGGTGATGTGTATTTCAGATAATGAGGTAAATAATCCACTACCTTCTGTCTTTGATTTAGGTTTTGGAAACCCGGGTCCATAGAAATATACTGCTACGTATGTTGTTCCTGCCACATCCACCAAAGCCAGGAAATTCTTTGTGGAATTCACTTTTCCGATGGAGTTTCCAATATGATTGAACACTTTGATTATATATGTATTTTTTTTTATGGTGTCTCACTCAGCCTGGTATGCCCAGGCTGGAGTGCAGTGGCGTGATCTCAGCTCACTGCAACCTCCACCTTCTGGGTTCAAGTGATTCTCCCCACTCAGTCTCCAGACTAGCTGGGATTACAGGCACTCGCCACCACGCCTGGCTAATTTTTGGATTTTTAGTAGAGACGGGCTTTCACTGTGTTGGCCAGGCTGGTCTCAAACTCTTGACCTCAGGTGATCCAGCCGCCCCAGCCTCCCAAAGTGCTGGGATTTCAGGCTTGAGCTCCTGCACCCAACCAGATTATATATGTATTTTTGATTATGTATTTTCTTACAGCATTTTGAAATTTTGAACTTAGTGATTTATTCACGTTGCCTGCAATACCCCCGATTTAGCACTGCAATGCTCTGGCAACGTTAGGGACTATCCCCCCAAAATTCATATCAACATGTGACTGCATTGGGAGACAGTGTCTTTAAAGAGGTAAGCTGAAATGACATTACTAGGGTGGACCTTAATCCATTATGAATGGTGTCTTTATAGGAAGAGAAAATTTGGACACACAGGGAGAAGACCACAGGAAGGAGATGGCCATCTACAATTCCAGAAAAGCAGCCTCAGAAGAAACCAATCTGCCAACATCTTTATCTGCAACTCCCCACCTCCAAAACTGTGAGAAAATTAATTCCTGTTGTTTAAACCAACCAGACTGCAGGACTGCGTTATGGCAGCCCCAGAAAATTAATATAGACAGCAAACGGCCAGACGTCCCACTTGAAAAAATGGATCTAGGAACAGAAAAGTAAATGTTGTGGGAATGACGTTTGGTGGCAGGGTTTTATTCTGCAGCTGCCTACAGGAATGACAACAGGAAACTGTAAGATGGTGTGTTTCAAAATAAGCTCGGCAGGAAACCAGTATGAATGCTGCTTTAAAGAAAAAATTGAGGAGTGTTTTCTTTCCAATTATGTGACCAATTTGAGAATAAGTGTGATGCGGTGCTGAGAAGAATGTATACTCTGTTGATTTGGGGTGGAAAGTTCTGTAGATGTCTATTAGGTTCACTTGGTCCAGAACTGAGCTCAAGTCCTGAATATTCTTGTTAATTTTCTGTCTCTTTGATCTGTCTAATATTGACAGTGAGGTGTTAAAGTCTCCCACTATTATTATGTGGGAGTCTAAGTCTCTTTGTAGGTCTCTAAGAACTTGCTGTATGAATCTGGGTGCTCTTGTATTGGGTACATATGTATTTAGGATAGTTACTTCTTCTTGTTGCATTGATCCCTTTACCATTATGTAATGACCTTCTTTGTCTCTTTTGATCTTTGTTGGTTTAAAGTCTGTTTTATCAGAGACTAGGACTGCAACTCCTGCTTTTTTTTGCTTTCCATTTGCTTGGTAAATATTCCTTCATCCCTTTATTTTGAGCCTATGTGTGTCTTTGCACATGAGATGGGTCTCCTGAATACAGCACACACTCTTTATCCAATTTGCCAGTCTGTGTCTTTTAATTGGGGCATTTAGCCCACTTACATTTAAGGTTAATATTGTTATGTGTGAATTTGATCCTGCCATTATGATGCTAGCTGGTTGTTTTGCCTGTTAGTTGATGCAGTTTCTTCATAGTGTCAATGTTCTTTACAATTTGGTATGTTTTTGCAGTGACTGGTGCCAGTTATTCCTTTCCATATTTAGTGCTTCCTTCAGGAGCCCTTGTAAGGCAGGCCTCGTGGTGACAAAATCTCTCAACATTTGCTTGTCTGTGAAGGATTTTATTTCTCCTTTGCTTATGAAGCTTAGTTTGGCTGGATATGAAATTCTGGGTTGAAAATTGTTTTGTTTAAGATTGTTGAATATTCGCCCCCACTCTCTTCTGTCTTGCAGGGTTTCTGCCAAGAGATCCACTGTTAGTCCGATGAGCTTTATGGGGAAAGATGATTAGGTGTCTTGGGGCTGCTCTTCTCAAGGAGTATCTTTGTGATGTTCTCTATATTTCCTGAATTTGAATGTTGGCCTGTCTTGCTAGGTTGGGGAAGTTCTCCTGGTTAATGTCCTAAAGAGTGTTTTCCAACTTGGTTCCAATCTCCCTGTCACTTTCAGGTACACCAATCAAATGTAGAGTTGGTCTTTTCACATAGTCCCATATTTCTTGAAGGCCTTGTTTGTTTCTTTTCATTCTTTTTTCTCTAATCTTGTCCTCTCACTTTATTTCATTGAGTTGATCTTCGATCTCTGATATCCTTTCTTCCACTTGATCAATTTGGCTATTGATTCTTGTGTATGCTTCATGAAGTTCTTATGCTGTGTTTTTCAACTCCTTCAGGTCATTTATGTTCTTCTCTAAGCTGGTTATTCTAGTTAGCAATTCGCCTGAGTTACTTCACTTACACTCTCCAAACTTTGCTGTTCTACAGCCTTCGCTGGTGATATCCAGGCAAACAAGTTTGGGAAAGTTTGCATACTCTAATGCCCTCCTACTCAGCCTTTAAAAACTGATTTAAGGATTTTAGGAATCCTATAGAAAAACAAACCAGTAGTCTCTTATTACAAAGAGATAAAAATGAATAACCCTTGGCCTCAATAAACGGTCTTTAGCCTGCAGCTGAACTGGCATTCCATGGAGTATACTTTCTGACATGCATACTTAGTGGCGCCTCCAATGTGCAGAAAGTCAACTGGAAGGGGAGTTGAGTTTAGATGAGAAGTGAAGCATGCCGTGCTTGGGCAGCCAGCAGGACCCCATCAGTCTGCATGAAAATGTTGCTCAGAGCGTAATTTGCAATTGCAAATATATGGAACCAACCCAAATGTCCATCAATCAACAAGTGGATAAAGAAAATGTAGTACATATATATATACACACATACATACATATGTACACACACACACACACACACACCGTGGAGTACTACTCAGCCATAAAAAGGAATGAAATAATAGCATTTGCAGCAATCTAGATGGAATTGGAGACTATTATTCTAAGTGAAGTAACTCAGGAAAGGAAAAGCAAACATTGCATGTTCTCACAAGTGGGAGCTAAGCTATGAGGACACAAAGGCATAAGAATGACACATTGGACTTTGGAGACTCAGGAGAAAGGGTAGAAGGGGTTGAGGGATAAAAGACTATACACTGGGTACAGTGTACACTGCTTGGGTGATGGGTGAACCTAAATCTCAGAAATCACCATTAAATAATTTGTTCACGTAACCACATACCACTTAGTCTCTAAAAACCTATTGGAATAAAAACTAAATTAAAAAAAGAAAAAGAATGTTTTTCAGAATGGAGAGGGCACATTTCAATAATTAACACACACCTTAACAGCCACTCATATCTGCCACATAGACGGGAAATTGTAACTTCTATGTACTGGGGCTTTGCTCATAGCTGTTGTCAGGGTTAACAAAGTACCTGCTTAATTATTGGTAGTTGGGAATACCTGGGGTTGTGCTCATGTATTCATAGGTCTTACATTCCTCAGAGCCATGCTCATGTGAGAAAGGGCACGGCGTGTTGGTAGAGGGGAGCAAAGAGGGAGGCTGGGGGAGCAGGTTGAAGCCAGATGCTGCAAAGACAGGAATCACCCTCAAGAGGCCGGACTTGCTCTGGCAAGGAGTTGGGAGATGATGAAGGGCACTGAGGTGTGAGGGTGGCCTTTGGTTTTAATTAAAAAGAAGCCCATGCCAGCATCTAACTAAGATCTTAGCACCAAGGGAAGGAATGGGAAGCAGAGGAACTAGAAAGCAGGTGCATTAGGAGAAAGTTCTGACCCAAAGGCTTTGGCCAGGTTTGGGGAATGCGGAGAAATTCAGGGATGAGCAGGTTCTTTGTGGTTTGGTGGGACAGAGAGGAGGATGTCTGTCAAGTGCCTGTCACTTGATTAGGGAGTCAAAGGAGAGCAGAGTTTGGACCAAGAGAGGTTCTGCGTTAAACACCAAGTATTTATGAATCAGAGTAAGAGTTCCCCTTGCTGAATCTGCCTCTTTTATCTTGGCTGTTCCACAACATAGATTCCATTGTACAAATGACCATATGGACGTTGTGTGATGTTCTAAGCCAAAAAGTGACACTGGCAGTTTCAGCCTGTGAGTATCTTTTGGCAAAGTTCTGGTGTGAGAAGGAGTTCCTGCGTAGCGCTGTCTGTCGGACTCAGCTCTGCAGGAAAGGCTGGAACCGCAGAGCCCATGAGGGTACGCTGCTCACAGGCAGGGCTCACACATGCTCTGCCCCCACCTCCCGTGCCCAAGCAGGTCACACTGACTTTGAGGCACTTCCCTGGCCCTAACATGTTTTAAAATTTGAATCATGCTTCAAGTGATTCTTTTGAGATT